ATCAGCAGCTGATGTTTGTGAAAAACCTTTGTGGACTGTAGTAAAGACAAAAAAAATTTATTGGGCATCCAAGCAGATGGAATAGGTTGACCTTAACTGGATGCCATCCCCAGCCAGTCATTTTCACTGCTTCTCCTCAGCAGGAAGAAGAAAAAATAGGGTGGAAAAGCTCATGGATTCAAATAGAGACAGGATCAGCTCAGAACAGTTTAAGTAAGGGCAAAAAAGACTTGACTTGGGAAAACTGGTTGATTTACTGCCAACTAAAAATAGGAGGTGGGAAATAAAGAAAAAATCCAAAACACCTTCTTCTATGCTAACCTCACCTTTTCATCCTCAGCCATTTCACCTTCTGACCCCAAGCAGCACAGGGAGCTGGGAAATTGTGTCAGTCCCTGACAGCCCCTTTCTGCCACCCCGCCTCTTCATACCATGTCCTGCTCCAGCTGGGCCTTCCCAGGGGTGAAGTAAAGCCCTGCTCCAGTGCAGCCTCCTGCCCAGTGCTACTGGAGGATCTCTGCTCCAGCTGTGCCTGAAGCCCCTCCTGCTCCCCTCCTCACCTCCCCAGTTCAATTCAAAGAAGTATTACAGAAAGAAATGGAATAGGATTAGAACAGTTCTCAGTGACTAATTGGATCTAATACCTGGTTATCAGCAGCAGCCCACAGCAATGGGTTCAGTACGAACCGATATTGGTGCTTGACGTCTGTTTTGCCTGCCTCTGGAAATCAGCTGTGAATCAGGTTCTGAGCAGTGGTATTGAAAAACTTTTTAAAAAATGAAAACATGAAAAATGCTAGGTTTCATTGAGAAGATCAGAGAAGTTAAAATGCTTTATACATGATACAATTTTGTATTTACTGCATAGTGTTGCCTTTGTGCCATTGTTGATAAAGATATTAACAGAACCAGGTCCTATAGACTTCTCCAGTCAGTGACAGCAGCAGCATATAGCTCCTCAGCAACTTGGGCTTTATTCTTTGCTGGCAATCAGAGGAAATTAGAGTAATCCTTCCCCTTCTGCTCACCTACTGTCATCCCTTTTTCAGCTTACTCTTGTGAATTTTACAATAATTTTGAGCAAGCATTGCTATTCATGACGTTACCTTAAAAAGTCAGTCTACCAAATATTCTCTAGCTTCCGTCCAGAATGCATTAACATTTTCATAGCGGAAGTTAAAATTTTAGCCCTGGCCATGATCTCACCAATTCCATGCTGCAGAGGGCTAGGAATAAAAGCACAAGAAAAGCTCTAAATGTGAAATAAATGTTTTGTGTGGAGGACAAGGTGCACACACTGAGAGGTTCGATGTCAATCCATGCTTTCAAACTACCCAACCCAAACTGATGTTGTGGAAACATGAGACCACGCTGTATTATTACTTTTCAGATTACTTCTGAGATTTATTCCAATCCTCAAATGCCTAGAAGAAATAATTAAATCCATATTCTGTTAAGTCTTTACACAAATAAACATCTTTTTTTCCTCATATGAACTGTTAGAACTGTGAATAAATACAAAAGTCCCCAAATTAAAAGGAAAAAAATCCTTATGCTTTTAATTGGCTATCCTCAAGAGAAAAAGATACTTAGTAGTGCCTTGTTTTCTTGTATCTTGATGAAAAGATGTAAAACCACCTCAGTTTTCACTCTATGGTTTGTACAGATGACGGTATTTGTTGAGCACTTACGTACAAATGCACACTATGGATGCCAGCTAAATTAGCTTGCCCAGCTTACCTCAAAATCAGTCCTGGCATATGTTCTAAGTCAGAATTAGCCTGTCTCTCCTCAGTCTCTCTTCTCAGTGAGAAACAAATCAGCTGATGTAAGTAGGAAAGATCACCTTGCCTCTAGCTCTGCACAGAATAACGCATCGGATTTATCACCCATGGGCTCTCAAGCACCATAGCAACATTACTTCCAACAAGTAGGCATAGTAGAGTTGGGTGCACTATGAATAATGAAATGTGTTCCTTGGCAAAAAAAGCTGCGTCAGATAACCATCGGGCCATGTATGTATATAATTATGCACACACAACTGGTGCAAGTTGAATAGCTGCTTTAAAAATATCCTTCAAGGCCACATTTTTGAAGTTCTTCAGTTTCACATGAGCAAAGGCATATAAGAAAGAATAATCTTTGCAAACGCATGGTTATCCAAGTCATTTATACATACCATTGGTTTTTGGATGTTTGGTTTTTTCTTTTTTTTTTTTTTCTTCCTTTTTCTTCCCTTGCAGCATCCTGTCTACATTGTTGGCTTATTAAAAATACTTAAAGATAAACATTGGGAAGGTGGACACGAACACTGTACACGTGCATGAGCTTAAGGACATTTACCAGTTTGGCTCAAAGATTACTAACAGCAAAAACGTTTGAGAAATTACTTCATGCACTCTGGTTAATGTTCAGGTATGTTTTCCATTCCTGAAGGATCCTGCCAAATCTAAAATGGAGAAGTGTGGGGAAGATATAAAGTACCCATTGTTTCTGCTAAATTTCCATTTTCGGTTCTTTCATTTTGTAATTTAAAAAGAGTATTGTTTTACTTTAAAAAGTATTATACAGTAGGGAAGAGAACTTGGACCCCACATTCAATGAGTGAACTTTATCCAAACTTCATACATATGGACAGTTCCTGTAACTTCATTGCAACTTATTCCAGGTTTAAGCTGAGACATGATAAGACGCTTTGTTAATTCAGATCTGTGTGTACGTAACTCTTTGAACTTTTTTTGGATCAATTCTCTAAAGCAGTTGTCCCACTCAGACAAACATGCTGGAAAGGAGGTGACAGCATTACAGAGAAATTCATTAGTATTACTTCTCTTCCCTCTCCTTCCTTCCTGTGTGTGTGGTATCCTGCACAGGAAAAGGGGGGAAAGAAAAAGTAATAGAAGCAGTATCTTTGTGGTGGGTGAGCAATGAATGGAAACAGCAACAGAGAGAAGTAGTCTCATCTGAGAACAGGAGGTTTTTCTGCCTTTTTTTGTTTTTGGTTTGTTTAGTTTTTGTTGTTGTTATTGGTAAAGAAAGAAACATGCCATTATTTTTTTCCAAAAAGGAAGAGGCAATCTATTTTACATATGTGAGGCCCATGGTCAAGAGCTAACAGGAAACTGGAAGGAGTTGTGACACTGGAGTTAGGCCTATGGAAAAATACATGAGTCTGAACAATGGGGCAAGAGAACCAAAATCAACGAGCAGGGGGCAAAGAAGGTAGAAGGTATGGGGGAAAGCATCACTCCTATAATAACTGAAAGAGCAGAACAAGTTCAACTTTGCTGTTACAAAGGATTCAGCAGAAGTCAAGTTTTGCAGTTATAAAATACCATAAGAGCAGAGGGATCACTGCCCTGACCCCACAGCACTGGTAGTGAGGCATATCTGAATACAAAACAGAACTGCTTATGCATGTTTGTCACTAGATTTCACAAGATCAAGAGCAAGTATTGGAAAGATGCTGTCTTATTTGTAATCACACACTATTACATTTGAATTAACACATTTGTCCACAAAAATTAGTGATAATGGGACAAGCACCATAAGATTGCAGCTGCTGTGCTATCTAGACCACAAAACAGAAGATGAGGAAAAAAAAATATAATCCTTCACTGTAACATGAACCAACTGGAGATCTGCACAGTCTTAACAACAAATAATGCAGGACATGTTTTACATCCCATGTTGCATGCAGCTTTTTCAGATTTCCAGTCAGGGCATAAGTGAATGTGGAATGCTATCAGTCTGTACTATGATATTTCACCAAGCAGCACGAGTGAGGCCATCAAGTTGTGTGAACCATCACCAATAAAAATACCAACCCTGTGCAAAGGGTTTCACACCTCCACTCTACCCCAACCAAATAGGTTGAAAATACATCTTGTTTTCTAAGTTCTTAAAGGATACATCATTCTACATAGATTTATCAAAGTTCATTCAGTTGGTGTGGATAGGGAAAAGGTTGTGACAATTGCAGTAGTCCTGTTATGTTTCAGACAGACTTCTGTTTGTGAATCTCACAGTGATGCACAGAGTGTGGTTGGATCTGCAGGAGCTGTACTAAACTGATTTCAGAATACAGAGGTTTTCTTTGTTCAGATAACTTCATATCGTGCCAGGACTGAGATGACTGGAACTCAAAATCATGGAATGGCCTGGGTTGGAAGGGACCTCAAGGATCATGAATCTCCAAGGCCCCTGCCACAGGCAGGGTCCATTAATACTAGATTAGGCTGTCCAGGGCCCCACTCAATCTGTCCTTGAGCACCTCTAGGGTTTGGGCATCCACAACCTCTCTGGACAGCCTGTTCCAGCACCTCACCCCTCTTATAGTAAAGAAACTGTGGTATGAATGCAAAAGCCACATGGTATTTCTTGCATTGTAGGCAAGTACCAAATCCAGAAGAAACAAAAACCACATGAGAACATGCTTGAAAGTTAAAAAAAAAAATGTTTTGCTATCACAATAACTGACAGCGTGGGGAAAAAAACCAACAAAAAAAGCAATACATCACATCACAAAAACTTCGATGCATGCATTCCTTACAACTCCTCAAAGATACAGGCTGGATGCAGCTGATTAGCTCACCACCCAACTACACCAGTGAGCCTGGAAGCAGGAGAACAAAATGGTACATTGCTCAGGAGCCAACCAGTGCATAGTCCTCCTGACTGTAGCTCAAAAAAATAGCATTTATGTTCTGTTTTTAAACAGGAATAAAACCCTTTATTCCCTCTGTGTTACCTATTACTGCTGTCTTCAACTTTTAACATATTTCTCAGAAGAGGCAAAAAATTAGACAGAATGATACAAACACTGTGTCCAGGTGTGGGACTCCCAGTACAAGAGAAATATGGACATATTGTGGAGAGTCCAGCAAAAGGCCACAAAGGTGATTACGGGCCAGAATCACTTTTCCTATGAGGAAAGGCCAACAGAGCTGGAATTGGAGAAGAGGAGGCTCAAAGGGGATTTCAGTAATGCATACAAATACCTGTTGGAGTAAGTTGCAGAGTAAAAACAACAGAACTCTATTCTTCTCAGTAGTACGCAGTATTCCAGAAGGCAAGGGGAACACACTGAAAAACAGGATAAACATATATAAGAAAAATTTATGTGAGGGTGATTTAACACTCTTACAGATTTCCCAGAGAGGTGTAATTACTCTAACCTCAATTTGACATGATCCTGCGTAACCTTATTGGTGCTGCTCTGAAAAGGGGGTGAATTATAGAATCCTTTGAGTTGGAAGAAACCCTTAAAGGTCATCTAGGTCACCACCCCTGTGTTGAACAGGGAGACCTAAGCAAGATCAGGTTACTCAGAGCCCCATGGAGCCTGACCTTGAATGTCTCCAAAGTCCTCCCTTCCAACCTCAACATTTTTGTGATCGTATGGTTTTTATTTATTATTAGTACTCCTATTATTTACCTTATGTAACTCCATCACTATTGCTAAAAGACTGCTATAAAACAGCATAAACAAGGCAAAACGGGTCTCCTGAACATGGGCTGGAATGCTGAACTGGAAGCTTTGTTTCTAACAGCTGAACAGTTTTGCACTATCTTAAATTTGTAAGTTATTAGCATAATCTCAATGTCTGCACATACACAGGTGTCTTTCTTCTTTGAAGAATACTCTAGAATATTTTGGACAGCAGAGAGAACTGATTGTGAGGAGGGAAAAATGAGAGTAAAGGGGCATTATGTGAACATATTATGAGACGGGTTTTAAATGACCAAATATCCAGATACTTAGTGAAAAATAATATACTAACCTTGCAAAGTTAATTACACATTCAAATCAAAGGTAATTAAGCAACAACTGCCTCTATTCCTCAATTGAAAAAACAAGCCACAAAAAAGATTATCATATTTGTCTTACAGTAGTGACATTAATTTAATTTGACTTTCAGGTTCAAATACATCATTATTTTGTATTGGTAGCTCAAATTTCATTGACAGCTTTCCCCCCCTCAGAAGGATACCGATAGGAGTTCAAACTTCTCAGAATAATTTTGAAGGATTTTGAAAATCCTGCATCAGCAATACAGCGCATATTCAGCATTTAGGATAATCTGGAAAAGACAATCCTTTCCTACTCTGTCTTTACAGTTGCTGCTCTGACTGCTCTTACTTCATTCATTTCTACCTTCCCTTTCTCTGAATTATATTGTAGAACTATTTATAAGTCAGAAGAAGGAAAAATTAAGCAATTTAACATCTCGAGCTTTAGTTTAGTTTCAGAATATGTATACTTTTGGTCACTATAAATACTCCGAGTTGTTGAGAAGCAGATTTTCATATTTCAATGTCAAATCACTCTCCAAGCAAGGAGCAGAGAGCCTAGACTTCAAACCAGGTCAGCACCTGAGGATGCACAGGAGAATTGGAATGTCTCTGAAAACCTCTGTTCCTGTGCCTGAGACAGACATGTTCCCTCTATGTTACTTGCCAGGAGATCCAGAGAGGCTTAGCCTTCACTTTAAGACCTGAACATTTCTGCCAATGGTCTCAGGAACTTATCTTAATTGGTTCTGAACACAAACAGGATGAACAGAAGGAGTTAAACAGTTTTAGAGAGAAATGGTCTCTTGGGATGTCCAGTTTGACAGTCTAAATTACAGTAGATTATGTGAAGTATGGAAAGCTTCAAAGATAAAGCATCAGGGTTTTCACACTGGAAGCACTGCATGATTTTTAAATGTGAAAAAATTCACTTTAACTGGGGCAAACATCAGAAAATAATAATTTTTAGAAAGCCCCAGAAGGGGGAAATGAGAAGGTTAGCTTTCCTCGACTCTGAAATTCAATAGTGAAGGAGGCTGGGGAGCACTGTGTTCATTCTGAGCCTAAGGAATTTCTGTCTAAAGGAAAACTTAATAGTCACAGCTGAAGAAAAATCCCTCTGCAGCTATGCACTCATTTCTCCCTAAGTTTTCAGCCTATTCTGTTAGGTTGGTGTCCTAAAAATTTCATAGTTTAACTTTGTAGATTTACATATTCTACCATGTCTAAGCCTCTGTCAGTCTTAGGGGATATTTTTCAGTGTTCAAATGTGAATACATATGCCACTGGAAAATGGAACTAAAAAAATGTGACTATGGCCCATTTACTCTTAAAATATTCATCTACAGAAGTACCTATGCCATTGATGTAATTGTGAAAATTACATATAATTTAAAATAGACATCACCTGGAAAAATGACTTACAGATTGCAAGACAACGCTGAAAATATCTGAGGCCAGATGGAGACTATTTATAGACTATATTAACAGTAACAGCAATGTATGAAAGAACTGCAGTGAATTATTCTCCCTTTCATAGGTGTAGATAATACAGTAATGGAACTCAATTTCATTTGCAGACTGACAAGTTTTAACCACTGAGATCCTGCTCTTTCCACTGTTGAATGAAATTGAAAGTTCAAATTGAAATGTCATTTGTAAAATAAAATGACAAAGGCAAATCAATTCCAGTACCTCAGCTATAAGATGCAGGTTGGCTACCCCAGCTGATGGGAGAAAAAAATCATAAAAAAAGACAAATTATGCTATATTGATATGACAAAGTGTCATTCAGTTTACAAAGTAATTGGTAAGGTCTAACAAGAATCTCACTGATAGAATGAGTTCCCTAGAGAGTATTTTCTCCCCATACACCAGCAGCGCATATTTATTTCAGGATCAGAATACCATATCTGGTTCCTTTCAAACCTCATAACTACATCACCAAAGTAGACTTCTTTCCTCAAAAAAATGGACTATTGGAAAAAAAAAAAAGTATGTGATTAGGTCCATATCATGAGTTTATTCATGCACCAAAAGTTTGAACACATTCAATGAAACTTTTGAATATAGAAGTACTCTTCAAAGCAGTCTACAAGAGCAGACCCAACCCTTTTACCTAGGGTGCACTGTTGACTGCAACAGACACAGAGGGCAAACACCACCAGTTTACAGCAACACAGATGCTGCATGGGACACAGTGAGAAAATAATTCAGAAGACTTTTTCTAAAACAGATTCAAATCTCTCAAGCGATTAGAAGTGAAATTAGAATTGTTTTACAAACTCATAGGAGTCAAGATCTTACTTAGATTATACACTCAGCTGCAGATGTAACTGGAAAGGCTGTAAAGACTTGAAGGAGATGGCTATGAATTAGCAGTGTGAAGCATAGGCTTTAGGTAATAACTTCCACCTGCTGATGGAGGTTGACAAGGTATAGTATGCCACAAAGGTATGTGAAGAGAAAGATGTGAACTTATGCAGGATGTGGCTATGAACCTGCACTTCTAGAATGAGAAAGATATTAGGGTACATTCTGTATAATATTAACTATTCAAGAATAGCTGAGGGCTGGATGAAAGCATTCTTTCTTCCCCATGAAATCTCATGGCCCACCTAAGCAACATAGGGTGGAATTCCTGGATGTAAGTGGAGAATCTCTAGTTATCTTTGGGAATAAATGTGTTAGGTCAGCAGTGAAATGTTCACCCCTCCTTCCTATTGCCAAAACAAAACAAGGGCCCAGAATAACACAAACTATCTTCAGGTTCTTCTTTATAGGCAGCGTTTCTGTATTGACTGTTTATAGAAAAAAATATAGCAACAGCACAAAATACAAAAGGTTATTAATTCTAGCTTCTTGCAGTAGATTTATCAAATATGGTTTATAGCTTTTGTTAAACCAAACTGTTCACATTGAAAATACCACAAGAATCTGAAGGATGGAAACAAAGGCATGTTTCAGCCATTTCAGCCTTTCTACTGTATTGCCATACAAGTCTTGCACTATTTACATTATCTCAAGCTAAATATTCTAGTCATACAATTCAATTAGCAAGTCACAGCTAAAGATAGCTATCTACTTCATATTAATTTAAATATTTAAAACAGCCAACCCCCATACATATAAACATCAAAAGCTATGTAAATATCTGGGAAATATAAAGCATGTGAAAAGTTGCAGACAAAGCAATAGGCTCATTTTTCAAAGCCAAGAAACTCTCAAGTATCTCCAAGCTCTAACCCTAACAAAACCATCTTGGAAACCACTCTCATAATTCCACCCCATCCCCCTGCCTCATGCCTCCTCCAAAACAGCAGGGAAGATGGGAGAAATGACATCATTGATTTTGCTTTTTGAAGGGTCCCATAAGTAGCTAAAACACTACATGGTAGTTTCAGTTAACTGTTACTAAAGTCACAAAATACATCCCAAAATAGAGCAAAGCACTTTTCCAAGCAGAACAGATTTTCCTTACTTTGAGGTCATTTAAAAAAAAAAAAAAAAAAAAAAAAAAAGCTTGTACCTTGTGCTAAGGGAAGATAAAACTGAGCCAATGCAGGAGCCCAAACAGCAGGTTTTCATCTATCAATATGGGGGCATGAGAGAAAATGAGCATTTAATGCTAATACCACATAATAAGGCTGTTACATAAAATTCAGTAAGCTCAGTGGGGAGCTTCTTAAGCACAGCTCTTTCAAACCACTAATTAGCAGAAGAATGGTACAGAATGAGCATGTTCCTTACATTCTTCCTTTTATTGGAGGGAAGTAATAGGGTTGATTTTTTTCTTTAAGACACCGAGATCCATGTCATTTAAGACAAGTACCAAAAACTCATTTGTTAACAACCTTTTAAGTCCTTGAACTGCTTTTTGTGCCTGTTTGACAATTGTAGGGAACTGCAGTACACAGAATAAAGAAAATTGTTATCATCTTGCCAGTATTTGAGCACCTCTGAATAAATCTCTCCTTTATACGTATTCTTGGAGGACATACAAGTGAGCAATGTACTTTAAATTCCCTTCCACCAGGTGGTCAATCCAGACAGAAGAGCAGCATGGAACACAGCTGAAGTCAGCGTGCTCTGCCAAGAATCCACATCTGCCCTTTCGTGCAGCAGTGATGGGGCCATGCTGTACTTTTTACAGCCATGTCATGAAATGCAAGATGCCATTGAATAGTGCTGTAGAAATGTAGTAAATTCCCATCTTGGATACGTTAAGCATTTGCTTCCTCAGTAGTTATTGCTGAAATGCTGCTAATCCTTCCATAAACATCTGCACCTTG